TGAGATAATGCCCAATAAGTTAAACACTCACCACTCAACATTAGAGAGTGAAATTTAGTAAACTTGGCCATTGTTAGATAGGCACCTGACAAAGTACCATGAAAATCTTTGATTCGCTCATATTTCTCAGGCAGGGTTTCTATCCCCAACCTGGTCTGGTCTAATTGTGTGTCCATTGCCACACTATGTGGTTAATTCTTAATGCCTTCAGATTACGTAAGGACATTATCTTTCAAGCACAAATAATTTATAAACAAATTAATTGCCTAACCCAAAGATAACTGGGTAGGTGGACTTGTTACAGTGTTCTGATCGTTATCTGTGGTGGATGAAAGATATAACAATTAACAGTAGCACCCCATCATTTTCCAGCTTATTGATTTGTTGGAAAACTACCAAGTAAAACACTGTCACCACCCAGTCGCGGTGTGTAAAAGGCCTACAATTATATTTTCAGTGGAGATTCTCAGAACAAAAATAGTAATTAGTGTCTTTGGTTTCACTTTTTTTTAGTAAATAGCTAGGTCTCAAAGTGGAGCTTCCTCCCTTGTTAATGACAACATGGCAGACTGAAGGTTCTGTGATTAAGGATTTTGGCTCTGAATATCTCTGGAAGGTACACATCTCTGATGGAGAAGCACTGCTGTCCATCCAGACTTTGTAAACTGCTCCCTTTAATGCTTGCCTTTGTTTTGAGATATAATTTAGTCTGTACAAATGGGACAGCACGGTGGCTCAGTGGCTAGCACTGCTACCTCATAACGACAAGGACCCAAGTCCAATTCTAGCCTTGGGTGACTGTGTGGGTTTCCTCCAGATTCTCCAGTTTCTTCCCACAGTCCAAAGATGTCCAGGTTGGGAGGACTGGCCATGCTAAAGTGTTATGCAGGCTAAGTGAGTTAGCCATGGGAAATGCCAGGTTATGGGAGTTGGGGTTGGTGTGTCTGCATAGGATGCTCTATGGAGGGTTGGTGTAGACTCAATGGGCTGAATGGCCTACTTCCATATGGTAGGGAATCTATGAAATGGCCTGGCTTTGTAGTAATTTCATTGGACCAACATTGGTTATCTTCATTAGGAAGCACATTGCGTGGTAGGGGATACTGGGCTGTGAGAATAAAAATGCAGGTTACAGTTCAATTGTTCACCCAGCAAGAGAAGGTTGTTGGGAAATTCAATCAACAACAATCAGATAACATATTAGTTCAATGAGTATAATACAGAATAATTTAAGTCATACATAGGAATCCAATAAACTTTATTTTTTTTAAAAATTCTTATCCATTTCAACAGACACATGCAGGAATAGTGAATTAACACAAGATCTAGAACCTTCAAAGTTCAAATGGGGTGCATTCAGTCATACATAACTTTTCCATTAAGTACAAATATCAATAAACAATCGTGTACAAAAAAAGGATAAAAATAGGCATAACATTTGTCAAATTCACTGTACAATGCAATACATAAAATCCATCCTTATCATATGTAACAAAGTCCAACATGAAGCTGTATAAACACAGTGTAACAATGATTAAACATGGCTGTAAGAACAACTTCTTACAACTAACACTGTTGCAAACATTCCACACTTCTCACACACATTCCATTTTAGATACACTACCCAAACAACCTTCACAGCATTCACTGCCACACTTTGCTCTCTCTCTTGCAGATGGTGGGGCACAACCGGAAGCAGGAGGAACCATTACAGAGGGAGGGAAATTTTTATTAACTCTTGAGATGTGGGTGTGTCTGGCTGAGCCAGCATTTATTGGCCATCCCTAGTTGCTCTCATGAAGGTGGTGGTGAGCTGCCTTCTTGAACCGCTGGGCTCAATTTGCCATTGGCAGACCCCCAATAACATTAGGGTTTTGATGTAGAGACACTAAAAATACAATGACATATTTCCAAGTCAGTACAGTGAGTGGCTTTGAGGTGAATTTGCAGATGATGGTGTTTCAATGTATCTGCTGACCTTTTCTTCTCATTGAAAACAGTTGTATGTTGGCAAGTTGTTGTCAAAGAAGTCTTGGTGAATTACTGCAGTGCATCTTGTAGATGGGACAACTGCTGTTATCGAGTGTCAGTGGTGGAAGGAGTGAATGTTGAAGGTGCTGGATAAGGTTGCAGGTCAAGGAGGCTGCTTTACCCTGGATGGTGTTGAACATTTTGACAATTAGAGCCACACTAATCCAGGAAAGTGCAGAATATTCCATCTTACTCCTGAATTGTGCCTTACGGTTGGTACAAAGACTCTGGGGGAGTTAGGAAGAGTGTTAGTCACTACAAAATTCCCAGCCTCTTTTAGCCAGAGTATTGATATGGTTGGTCCATTTCAATTTCTCATCAATGGGTGAGTCACAAAAAGTTGATAATGAGGATGTTCTTGGCAATTGTTACTTGCCAATCATCAGTCAAAGCCTCAGTATTGTCCTGGTCTTGCTGAATGTAAGCTCAGAGTGTTTTATTCCCTAAGGAGTCAAGAATGGTATAGACCACTGTGCAATGATCAGTGAATATTTCCAGTTCTGATGTTATAATGGAGAGAAGGTGACATGGCTGAAGATGACCAGACCTAGAACACTACCTTGAGGAATTCTTGCTGTGATGTCCTGGTGCTAAGATGATTAGTCTTCAGCAATCAACCACCTCTCTTTGTTCTAGGTATGGTTCTAACCAACAGCAGGTTTTTCCCCTGACTCCCATTGACTTCAAGTCTTCTAGAACTCTTGGTTGCCACATTTGCTCAATGCTTCCTTGATGTCAATGGCAGTCACTCTTGCCTCACCTCCTGAGTTCAGTTCTGTTGTCCCTGATTCGATTGAGGCTGCAAGGAATTCTGGAGCCAAGTGATCCAGGCAGACCCAAACTGAACTGTAAGGAAGAGCTGTCAATGACAGCTTCCATCGGTCACTTTTCCCTTAACCGAAAACAGCACACAAAATGAAACTTTATTTTTAAATAATGCAGCACCTGCTAACCCAAACCTAACCTGATGAAATAAGCGATGGTTTTTTGCTTGAAGACAGTGTGTGCATTTTTTTTTCAAACTGAGCCCTCGCCTGCTTGCTCTCTAGAGCAAACATATGAGCACACTGAATGGTCATTTTTCAAATTGAAACCCAACATCACAAAAACATGCGTGTGCAAAATCAGCCCTTCCATATTTTAGAAAGAGAATGTATTTAGTTATTTGCATTATCAATAAGTTCTCATCAGAAGGAAGGGAAGATCAAAGGGCTCATTTTATAAATGTGGGTTTCGAGTGCATCTCTCTCCTCTTTGAGAGGCTTGTGCATCAGTGCTCAATTTGCAATTTGAAATTTTTTAAAGCGAATATTACAAGGGTGAAGCCAGAAATCTATTGCACTGCCATCCTATGTAATTACTTTGATCATTTTAGGGAATCAAAGGGGAGTTTCGCAACTGTATTTCTCCTAAATTTCCCCCAAGTTTTGAACCTTTTGCGGAGAGCACCTGCCTCGAAATATTAGATCAATTGTTCAGCGATGTGGAGAGTGAAGAAATTGGCATTGTTCTCCTTAGAGTACAAAAGGTCAAGGGGAGATTTAACAGAGATGTTCAGACGCAATGAATTTCAAAGAAGAAATGAAGGGAAATTGTTTTCTATGACAGAAGAGTCAGTAACCAAAGGAAAAAGAATTCGGATAATTGGTTAATGAAAGAACAGAGAATATAAGATGAAGCTTCTTTTACACAGCAAGTTGGGAAAATTTGGACTGCATTTCCCAAAAGAATAGTACAACCAGATTTAATAGTTACTTTCAAAAGGGATACAATTTTGAAGGGGTGAAAATTTCAGGGCAATAGGGAAACAGTAGGGAGATGAGAATAACTGGATGGCATAGTCAAAGAATCAGCATGGGCACGATGGGTTAAGTAGACTCCTTATGTGCTGTACAATTCTCTGACTTCATACCTGATCGGGTCAGTTTGATAGACTTTAGCTGTCCTTGTGGTTTGTACATTGTAACAGGTGAGATTCCAATTCAGTAAATGGACTCTCCAAACACAAACCAAGATGCTCTTGGGCTAACCCAGTTTGGCCTGAAGTGTAGCATTTCCTAAACAGCTATAACACCATTACAACAAGGTGCAGGGCTGGATGAACACAGCAGGCCAAGCAGCATCATAGGAGCAGAGAGGCTGACGTTTCGGGCCTAGAACTTTCACAGCCAAAGCTAAAACACCTCTGATTTTGCAGTGTTGGATTCCAGAGGTTTATTCCAAATTCACACTTTGACAGCAACTTCCAAACCCATGACCTCTGTCAACTTGAAGGTCAAAGACAGCAGATGTATGAGGACACCATCACCTGTAAGTTCCCCTCCAAGCCATATGCCATCTTGATTTGGAACTACATCGCCATTCCTTTAGTGTCGCTGAAACAAAATCTTCGAACCTCCTTCCTAACAGCAATGCAGATGTATGCACACAACATGGACTGCAACAGTTCAAGAAGACAGCTCATCACCACCTTTCCAGATACAATTAAGGATGGGCAACACATTCCTGTCTATCCAGCAATGTCCAAATCCCATGAAAGAATATTATGAAAACATTGTTCAATCTCTTATGGTTTGATTGTTCCATCAGTCTTGAGTGACCTGATCAGTCACCTTTATCTTTTTTCCTGACTCCCAAAAAAGTGAAACACAACATATGCAGATATGATCTATTTCCAATGCCTTCCGAGTGCAATAGATCCACTCGTCATAGAACTGCAGAGACTAAAATCCTACGATCAACACAAAAGATAAAATGTAGAAGTGGCATTGCCATGAAGAATGCACAGGCCTCTTACTGGTTCATTTCTTGAGTCAACCTGCTGGTTTAAAATTTAAATAAATCCTGGAAGTTAACTGTCAATCGTCTCAAGCTGGTACATTCTCCACGGTAATGCCACTACCAATCATAGTCCACTTGTTCAGGCAGTTAGCACTCTCCTCTCACACAGACTAAACATTTGTTTTCCCCTTAAATTGGTTTTCTTACAAATTGTCCTGATGAATGTGAGACCAAAAGCTTTGATAATATGTCATTTTTTTCAAAAATACTCATTACTAAAATTGAAAATAGCAGAATGCTGTGGGAGCCCAAATCTTTGGGCTATTCTAACCTCTTGTTTATTCTATTGGATCTAAAATGTATCAAAAGCAAAGTAATAAGCAGTTTGGAAAACACAGCTTTTAATTCAGAAAGCAACATCATAATACGGTGTGTTTAAAAGATTTTTAACATCCTTCTTCAAAGAAATTTGACATTCAAGCTTCTCATGTCGTCTTGCTATTTATAATTAAATGCTCCATTTCCAGAAACTGGTATACCAATGACATTTCACATAATGATACAACTCGGCTCACAAGCTACTTAACAATTCCCTCACATCAGCATTTGTTGACAAATCCAAAAGCACTTAAGTGTTCCAACTGCAAAAGCAGCTGATGTGACTGTTTCCTAAACATTAGCTTCTGACTAATTTCTAACCCATAATGTCTTGCTTTTGTTCGTAAGTACAATATAAAAATCTAACAACAATGGGATAGATTTTATCCTATCATCACCAAGAAAGACTTGCATTTATATCTCATCTTTCATGACCTCAGGATGTCCTAAAGCACCTTATAGTGAGTAGAATCCCTTTGAAATCTAATTGCTGTTGTAATGCATGATAAGTGACAGTCAGTTTGTATATAACACACTCTGACAAAACAGAGGTGAGGTAATGACCAGATCATCTGTTTGGTGATGAGTAATAAATGTTGACTAGAACTCTTCCACTATTCTTCGCAATAATGACTATGGGATCATTTACATTCAGCTAAGAGGGCAGAATGGAGCTTGACGTAACATTCTTCCATCAGCTATAGGTTAACGGCCTATTAGACCCCCTTTCCATTAACTTCAATGTTTTCCATCAGCAAATGAAAAGCAAAATCTATGCCAAAATGAGCATGGTTGTTTAAATTTGATTCTCTGCTATATTGTGAGATAGTTCAGGAATAGACCAATAAACTCTCCCTTGATGAAATTATAAGATTAATTCTGATGCAGGCCAAAAGCTATCATTTTGAAGACAATTAAGATTATAAAGACAACACAGTAAAACAGAATTGTGAAATGCTCTTGTAATATAAATACAATTCTCAGACATTCAAGCATGAGCTTTTTAAACTACTGTTCAGCTTGGGCACAAATGCTTACTGATGTTCAGAACAATATGCATGTCAGAAGTTTCATAATAGCAATTGAAATGGAAATGCTCTATGTGCTAGTAGATAAAGCACAGTGGTACACCAACTGGTCCTGTTCGAATGAAGGTTTTCCCTCCTAGATGTCTTCCTAAATGAAGGGCAGAATGATCAGTGTTGTTTCCAAGAGTCTATGCTCCTTTTGATAAAGGCGAATGCTACTTTGGCATCACGTCTTTTATAGGATGCAGGGTTTGTATCTGTGGATCACAGCTGCTTCATTTTCATGGTCAATTCTGACTGGGAAGTAGCCATAATAGTCCATTAACACTATCCTACACCTCAAATCCTATACTGATGGGTCACTTAGAGCCATTCATTCAGAAATAGCCCTATTGCTAAAATATCAAAATCCTCCAGGAATCTTCTCTAGTTACCCATTAACCTGTCAGAAGCTGGTTGGGGATCGAAAGCTAAAAGAGTTAAATAAGAATTTTAGGACATTTTTCGAATATGTAAATTTAAAGAATTCAATTATTCAATGAGTTAAAACCCAGACGTCTGCATAGATAACTCCAGCCTAAAAAGAGGGACAGCATGTTGGCCAATTAAATTGTTATAAGGTATTGACAGTTTAATTAAATTCCTATCAGATATGCCCTTTCCTAGAATCTGTCAAAATGGATTGTCCAAGAAAGAAAATAACAGGAACCACCAGCCCCATTTGTACAAGGCTTTTTTGGAATCTTTGCTGCAGATTCTGTAAGAATTTCATTACGAAACAAGTGACCAACAGCGAGAACATGGTCATTAGGACAAATGGTTAGGGTTAAAACTGAACCGTTAAGCAACAGTCAAACACTCTGGTGGAAGGATAGGGCTTATGTTCTGAAAGGAGCAAATTAAAGGGATTGAAGAGCCATCTTGTATTCTCACATCCCATTGGTGTCACTTTTGTATGAGAATATTGTCACAAGGATATACAATTTGCACCACATTGTTCTGAAGTTCATCGTTGAATTAGTACTGGGGACTTTCATAGTCTAAAATGGTGTTACAAAAAGGAACCAAAAAGCACTGACTTAAAATGGCTACAGGCTTCAGCTGACCACAAGTGGGCCAAGTTTCAGTGTGAATTAAACAACAGACAGCTAATTTGAAATTAACATTTTATCCAAAGGCAATGCTACACCAGCAAGTTCATTCCTGTGGGAAGAGTGAAAAGATCTTCATTTCCTATTTTGAATGACACCTTTGAGTATGTTCACATATAAAGTAATGAAAGCATCACCTGCAATTATCTAGCTTGGAGACAATGGACTCAGGCATGGAAATATGCACACAAGCTGATATTTCAAGCTGCTGCTTTTGGCATAGGTCATATGAAATTAAGGATGCAGAACTGAAAGGCTGTGGAACTTTCTCTCTCTCTGTCTCTTAAAAAGAAAAATGTTCAGTGACAATACATGTTAAAAAGAAACATAAGAACATTGAGAACTCAAAGGATAACTGCAAATTTGCTACTGGTCATGGTCTAAAACAAGAACTAAACAATCACATCCTCAGGTTAAAATCTTAAGCATGAAGGACATCCAAAAGGCTCTAAACTGTACATTCACATATTTGGTGTGTTCGTGGGGTGGCGTGTGTGCGTTGTGGTTTGCGTGTATAAGGATGTTTGCGTGTATATGGAGAGTGTTTGTGTGCATGTCACTGCACAAGTGAGGGCCGAAGTGACAGCACATATGTTTGACATCATGCCTTTATTATTTTGCTCAAGATTGACAGGAAATAAACTTGTTTTGCATTAAACTCAAGGAAACTTTGTAATTTTTTTTACTACTACTGCAGAGATTAGTTAAACACATTTCAATTGAATAGAGGTATAGTCTCGTGCTTAAAAGAATATAAACCTCTCTCGGCCAATGAAGGATGTTTGAAAGAGGGGAACTACCCTCAGCTAGTCATAACATTACTGTATATTTGTGGTATTACAGGCAGGAACAAGCACTCACAATATACAAATAATCATCTCCATTAACAATCTTCTAATGATGTATTTGTGAGTCACTCCTGCACTGGTTTCATTCTGCCTGTTTATTCTTACTATATACTAGCATCAGACTGAGTGTGTTGACTGAGTGTTTTAACTCAATGTTGTCCACAACTTCAATAAATTTTACAATGCTGCAATATTGTATACACTCCCATCCATTTTTAGTTTCTTCTGTATCTTTCTTTTGGGGCATTCCTGATGGAGTTTAACCAATTCCTTTCTTTTATCACTTCATTTCCTTCCATGCAGCGATAGGAAATATGCTGCTATAATGACTACCATAAGACCTGATATAAAGATTTATGCAGATGAAGGGAAAACAAGAAGGGAGAAGAAATGTTGTCATCAGTATGCAAAATGAACTGTAGACAGAAAATTTTGGAATCAAGTCAGTTAGAAACCAAGGCAAGATAAAAGTAGGATCTACCAGTTCTCTTGCAACAAGTTCCACCAACGCACATTTGTTTCTGTTTGGAGCTACCATAATTCAGGAACACTGTTTACCATAGATTGATAGAGAACTATCAAACAAAGGAATGGTAAGAAGCCATTCAGCCCATCAAGTGTACTCTGCCCTTCAATTAGATCATGGCGAATCTGTGCCTCAACTCCAGTTCGTCATTTTAGCTTCTTAACCCTTGATACCCTCATCTAAGAGAAACCTATTGACCTGAGTCTTCAAAGTTCCACACCACAGCCTTTTGGGGAATTCAGTAGCAGATTTTTCATTAGCCTTGGTGAAAAAACAGCTTTCTCATTTTGTCGCTGAATATCTTGGCTGAAACGCTAAGATTTCATCCCTTGGTTTTTGATTCTCCCATCAAAAGAAATAGTTTCTCTCTATATGTATCACTGAATCAGTCAATAACAACCTTTGATCTTCTACATTCACGGAAATACAAACCAAAGGAGGGATCATCTCCCAGGTTAATTACTTGCACTATCCAAAAGCAGAACACGCATTGGCAAGGGATTGTGAGAAGCTGATCACCTGGGTTTCTTTCATTGATGACTGTTGCATGAACTAGGAGAACATAATCATGAGGAGCAAAAGAAAGTTAACTAGATGAGAAGGTACATTGTCTATTCTTGTAACACAAACCAGAAGTCACATATCTACTGGACAAAACTAGTCTGCATCCACTTCATTGAGGAATGATGAGTGCAACAAGCTTGGATGGGCAGAGCTAAAACTGAAGATTTATGTTCTTTAATACGAGTTACATTTTGACAGCGATTACAAGCACAGAGTTGTGATAAACTGGAATTAGTTAGAACTGCTCCTCTAAAAATATTTTGTGTCAAGCAAGTGTATTGTTTGAGTTACAACTGAGATACCAGGAAAGAACTGGCCGTCTGCTCATCCATTCAATGTTTGGGCTAGATTTCTTATTTCAGGTTCCCTCGAGTTTCTAGTTGAATAATGTTCAAAACTGATGACGGGACTTCAGAATATTGTTCACACCCAATGCTACATTTGTAATATTTCAGCATAAATTGCTCTCATCTGAAGCCCTACTCTTTGGTCATCAATGTTACCATAGGATTTCTATATGCCCCGGTGATTAAAGATTTGCTCCTATACCAGTGATCCTGCTTGGTTCTGAGCTGGCACCATGACTGGCACAGCCCCCATTCTAGTAAGGTTTGATGACGACATTGAGGATACTGCAGGTACCTGCCTAGGGGCCTGTGTCTGAACTCCATTCTGCCATGCAGTGGGGGGGCTAGAGTAGTGAGTGTTGACGAATGATGCATAAGCCGGTGCTGGCTTCCCAGGTGAGCTTCTTATTGAAACGTTATCCGCTGATCTTCGGGCATTATTTGGGCGCTTGTAACTTCCAGTGCCGTTGACACCCATTGCAGTAATGGTCGAAGCAGTATCTGATGGTGCTTTAGTAGGATACGGTTTGTAAACATGCAAGGTGCTATTCACTGATGACAGTGTACCATTTTTGGAGATGATATCAGAACTCCCAGACTTAGCCCATGTATTTCCTGTTGGTGCTTGTGCATCCACCCTGTGAACAAAGAAAGCTTTTATTTTATGCTTGTAATGAAAGAAAATATATAATCAGAGGAAATGTTTATTACAGTACAGGACAACATTCCATAAATACGACCGTTCACCTCCATTCATTTCTTATCATCATGACTGTATAGCACAGTATGCTTGATGTATGCCCCCTGGATTTCCTGGCCTTCTGCTTTACTTCTGCCCATTGTTAAATGGCAAAGGATTTCCAATGAGAGGTGACCTTATAGACGTTTATAAAATCATGAGGGGCCTGGATAGGGTGAATAGTCAAGGTCTTTTCCCCAGGGTAGGAGAGTCCAAAACTAGAGGGCACAAGGTTTAAAGGGAGAGTGGAAAGATTTAAAAGGGACTTGAGGGGTGACTTTTTCACTCAGAGGGTGTATAGAACGAGCTGCCAGTGGAAGTGGTGGAAGCTGGTATAATGACAACATTTAAAAGACATCTGGATGGGTATAAGAACAGGAAGGATTTAGAGAGATATGGGCCAAATGCTGGAAAATGGGACTAGATTAATGTAGAATATCTGGGCTGCATGAACGAGTTGGACAGAAGGTTTTGTTGCTGTTCTGTACATCTCTATGACTGAACATCCCTTGTGAAATGTCAGTGTGGAACATTGGGTGCGGGCATATACTAGACAATGTTTCCGTATTTGATCATTCCATTCCCCAGAAACTACAACAATGCTTGGTATAGGAATAATAATGTCATACTGTTACAGGTGAAGGCAGTCTTCTGTTATTCGGATGAAGCACATTGCTTTAAAGCAAAGTGCAGAATGTACTTCAAATCCAATCCTGCTCTATTTGTCCTGGAAGCCCTTCAAACTGGTAGTAGTTGCCTGAATTTGGAATATGTTACACTGCTTAGTCTTTAACTTTTATAGACAGACAGACACACACACACACGCACGCACACACACGCACACAGACACACAAACACAGACACACACACACATCAAAGTCTTTTTAAAAAAATCATTCAAGAATTATATTTGGATGGGACATTGCACTGAGGAGAGAAGCAGTGGAATGTTGGTTCCATGCTGTTCTATGGAGATGCCAGATGTATTCCAGGTGTTCCCTATAAGTTAGGAAGATGTGAGAGAGGATTCAGAGGGAGCTTGTGTGGCACAATGGTAGTGTCCCTAGTTTTGAGCCAGGAGACCTGGGATTCAAGGCCCACCTGTTCCAGGGGAGTGCAATACCATCTCTGAACAAGTTGATTACAAAACATCTGGGAGAGGAATGAGCGACAAGAAACATTTAACATGTTCCCAAATCACTCACACGTGTTTTAGTTGACGATTTAAGACCTCTATTGGTAGACCATGAGATGTAAGTCATACAACCATATAGATTATGGGCAGTAGGAGGCCATTCAGTCTCTCAAGCTTGCTCAGCCCTTCTCATGGCTGATCTGATCCGAGCCACAATTCCACATTCCAATCAACCCCAGAATCTTGTAAATCCTAATCTTTTCAGTCAGTTTTCTATACAGCAACATGAACAAAGGGAAGGATAGGAGGATCTCATGGGTCTATTTCTATTACCTCTCCTTCCTAATAGCGGTTCTCCTATTCCAGAAAATGCAAAATGTAGGAAGATTTCATTTGATGTATCTATGTATTCAATATAAAGGCAGCTGCCAACTCTGTATTTCCTGACTTCTCAAGATTTACAGACATGGATTCTGAAGACTCATACAAGCAGTCGAAAAATGATTTAAAAATACTTTGTCGAATGACTCAGGTATAATAGGTGAGTCAGAATACAAATTCAACTAACAAAACCTATACATCAATCACATAGCTTCTATTCAGATCAGCTTGTGACTAACTCTGACTGTTGGGCATAATGACATGTTCTGGCATTCAGCTGAAAACAGTACCATTTCCTTCAACAGCAGATACTAACCTTGGGTGAGTGTCAGTCAAACTGATTCACCCAAAACAAAGCAAGAGTCAATGGCTTCCCATTGACAGGGGTTCTATCACAGTAAGCATCCTGGTGGAGGATGTTACTAGTGTCTGGGAAGTGGGCATTGAGGCACCGTCAATGGGTCGGAGTTGATGAGATTGTGTTGATCAGTCAGCTCATTGATGCAGACCAGTCGCTGAGGCATTTTACTGATATGGAAAAGCTCTAAGAAGACAGGCAGCTGATGGCCAAAACTTACAGCTCAATTAAGGTCCTCTTTATATTGGTATCTGGGGCTTGTGTGCACAGTGGTAGTGCCCCTACCTCTGGGCTAGGAGTTCAGGTCCCATCTGCTCCAGAGGTGTATAGTAACAACTGTGAACATGGTGATTAGAAAAATGTTATAGTGGTTTCAGCACTTTGAGGCAGTGTCATAGAGTCATACGGCATGCAAACAGACCCTTTGGTCCAACCAATCCATACTGACCATAATCCTAAACTAAACTAGCCCCATCTATCTGCGCTTGGCCCATTCCCTCCAAGTATTTCTTATTCATGTACTTATCCAAATTCTTTTAAATGTTTTAACTGTATCCACATCCATCACTTCCTCTGAGAGTTCATTCAACACATGAACCACTCTCTGTGTAAAAAAGGTGCTCCTAATATCTTTTTTAAAACTTTCTCCTCTCACCTTAGTCTTCAAATCCCCCACACTAGGAAAACAGACACCTGCCATTCACCTTATCCGTACCCTTCATGATTTTATAAACTCTATAAGGTCACCCTGGCTTAATGGTGGGGTTTCACCGAATTTTTCCTTTGTCTTTTCTTATCTTTTTATTTGTCTTTTATTTTTGTTATAAAACATACAAACAGGAGTAGGCCACTTCAAGCCTGTTCCATCTTCCAATAAGATCCTGGCTGATCTGATTTTAACCTCAACTCCACATTGCTGCATACTCCCCCATAATCATTCATCCCCTTGGTAATCAAGAATCTATCTAACACTCACTTAAAAATATTTTAAGATTTTGCAACCACAGGAATTCCCCATCCTATGAGAGAAATTGTTTGGCCTCATCTCTATCTTAAATGGGCACCTCCTTATTTGTAAACTATAACCCGAGGTGTAGATTCTCCAACAAGAGGACATATCCTTTCAACATTCGCCTGGTCAAGACCCCCAAGATCTTCTATGTTTCAATAAAATTACCTCCGACTCTTCTAATAATCAAAGGATGCAGGCATAGCCTTTCCTCATAAGACAATCCATTCAATCCAGGTATTAGTGTAATGAACCTCTTCTGAACTGCTTCCAATGCATTAACATTTTTCAGTAAGTACAGTGACCAATACTATACACTGATACAGTCTTATCAATGCCCTGTATAACTGAAGCATTAGGTCCCTACTCTGGCATTCAATTCCTTTCCAATAAAACATAACATTTTATTAGGTTTCCTTATTACTTGCTGTACCGGCATACTAACCCTTTGTGATTCATTCACTATGGCACTGAGATCTCTCTGAAAAATCTATTGTCTCTTGCTTGGCGCAGCTCCAGCTACCCCACTACCAGGTCAACCAGGATCACATTTCCTGGGGGAAGAGGGGGTGCTGCTGAGGTTTCAGACTGCCAGCCTTCTGATTAGACCAGCTTGGACAGGCTCTGTCATCCCGAATTGTATGACTGCCCTCCAGGCGACCAATTGGAAAACAGGCTGTGGCGAGGGAGATCTTGCTGCCTGCAGACTCACCATGTCATTAGACACCCCACAGTCTGAAAATTCAGACCTTGTTTTGTGAAAAAAGTGATGTCAACCTTTTGTGAACGTTCTGCTCTCACCAGGACATTAACAGCTACAAATTGTTCAGTGGGTTATAGGTACCTACACCCCCCAGTAAAATATACTGCCCAGCACAAATGAATGAATGAATCATTCCTGACCTCTGTGGGAGGTAGTAGATGTATCTACTAGGCTACAGCGTGTACACATATGCAGAGATCAGCAGTATGAGGCTATAGAGTGAAACTTCAATTGAAAGTTTTAGTGGCTAAATATTGAACTTTTAATGCCCTCCTCAAACTGCAAATTCTCACAAAGCTCTTGTACATTACGCCAACTCATGGAGGCAGATTTGGGTTTTTACTGTCCCAGGCCCTGATGAGCTATTACTCACTATACTTACTTTATCTCATTAGCTGGATCTTCCTCTTTTTCTGCTTCCCTCCTTTGATGCTTGCAGAAGCAAATCACAAGAGCAATGATCAGACATATTCCTAACAGCACTCCAACAACGGCTCCAACAATGATCCCAGCATTATTTGCTGTGGGAAGAGAGAAGATGGTTTATTCCTTTCTGACAACAGCCGAACGAAAAATCATATAGGAGAAACCGGTCAAGAGCAGAATGAAAATCTCGCAATGAGTCACTTAGTTCAAACTAACAAAGTAATGTTGAATTCTTTGAGAGAAATAGTAGGGTTATTGTATGAATGCTTGGCTTTCTCACATTCCGCAGAAATTGTGTGTTACAGGTCCATACGCTAACAATATCCAACTTGTGGTTGGGTTGGGGGTGGGGGGGCGGTGGGGGGTGCGTGGGGATGGGGAAATGGGAGATTAAATTACAGGGAAGGTAATTTGGCCGGTCTTTCAGCAGTCTCTGCACACTCACTCTTCCAGCTAGGTTTTCCCAGCCACAAGGTATAAGGGTGCGAGATAGTGGGGCGGGGGGGTGTGGGGGTGAGGCTTGACGCATTAGTGGGGCAGTGCTCTCCATCACAGCTCTATTGCCAGAGGCAAGTTTCCCAGCATTGAGACTAGTTTCAGAGTAGCTAACACCTCTGTGAATGGAGGGAAGGCAGTGCATTTTAAACTATTCACAACCACAACAGAGATAATTCCTTGGCCCATTGGCAATCGGGAGGATGGTAGGCTGGCACTACCCACCCCCTGCCACCTGGGTGCACCGGTTGCTTGGCAGAGGCAGCATTCCAGCAGCAACCTGGGTGGCCACAGGATCTGGAGGTTCCTCGGCCCGAAGACAAGGTCCGTGAACAGGAAAAATCATCCCCCTGGCCCTAGTTTGGGATTCCCTGTTTGGCCCCTCAGAATTTTAATTTAAAGCCTGCCTTTTTGATCTGCCTCAGCAGTGCCCGGTCTATCACCCAGTGGGGGCTACCAGCCCTCTGACTGCCAATTATCAGGCTGGCTCCCTGCCGGCTAATGCAGGCTGGAGACCCCCATTTCATCTGAACAGCGGTGTAGCAAGGTTCACAGAAAAATTCTTCCCTTTCACTCATGTGATGGCTAACAATCTAGTAAGCGAAGTTGCCGTAGTCCCAAACCACAGGGCTGCTCTTTCATTACAGAGAGATGACTAGTGATAGTTTAAACTGAGGGTCACCACACTTCAGGTAAGGGAAAAGGCTGAGAAGGAGACACCTTCGAGGTAATCTCAGCCAGTGTGCAAACTGAACTCACGCTACTGGCATCATGCTGTATCGCAAACCAGACATCCAGCCAACTGAGCTAATAGGCCCCAGTAGCTAACAATCTACGCAAACTCACACTAACCGGTCTGTCTTGGCAAGGCACCCTGGAATGATGGGAAATTACACACCTTATTAAGAACTGATTAAGACACTGTCAGTTTATAAAAGTGACATATTTCAGTCTAAAGTGTGTATTCTAATAGATTGAACGTTAAAGGATTTCTCTGAATAATGCTGGCCCGTTTCCCATTTTAGCGTGGTTACAGTGCCTGCTCAGACTTACTTTGGAACAAGTTTCCACTTCACGCACCACTTCCCTCCCCAACCCTTGTTGCTTCCCTCTTATGGACCCGCACTCATGATCCCCTCCCTTCTTATGAACAGTGGGGTGGTGTTAGTGAGTGGGAGGGAGAGACAGTCTAGACAGGAAGGCAATGAGCAGAAAGAGGTATGCTGGAAAGTTGGGGGAAACAGTGAGTAGGAGGCAGTTACTTGGAGGAAAGTAGACTTATAAGTTAGTAAGTTAGTAAGGTATTAAGCAGTTGTAAGAGAATCTTTGGGCCTTTCATAGAGGATGTTTGAAGTAGCCAATAAGTTTTTAATGTAAAAGTCACAGGTCAGGAATGTACCCCACACTTACAATTACACATTTTCTTAGTGCTTCTCCTTTTAACCCAGTTTCCATTAGTCTGCTGTTATATCAGAATACATTCAGTGAACTAAAGAAGGGAGACCTATACTTACGGGTTATCACAACCAACTTTATCGAACACGATGCATTCCCTATTTCATTCTCGGACTTGCAAGTGTATAATCCAGACATTGTTTCGCTGAGGTTGGTCAATGTCAAGTTTCCCTTTTTGACAGCTATAAAACAAACATGTCAGTCAGAAACTCAAAAAACAACACAGGCCTCAACACATTCAAATCTATATTTCATTGGGTTAGAATCAGGGTAGAGCAAATGTCTACCTTTTCATTGCCACTAGAGTTGCTTAAGATAATGGATGAGAAATGATCCCTCTCCACATTTAGCTGCTTTCCATTCAGTGTCTAACGCAAGGGTTTCCTGGTGCATAACAGCTACTCTGATTAGCCCCAGCAGAGTCTTTTTTTCTCGATCATTAACCAAGTTCGGTTCCTGCTGTGTAACAGGTTCAGGAGCCTGGAGCAGCCCTATATTGATGTTACAGAGCTGCATATCAGCAATCATACACAGCACAGTGCAGATGGAGTTTGAACACCTGGACTCTACATCACACCTGACTATAACATGAACACGAATGCATGAAGAAGATAGATTAGAGTTTACCGAGATTAGAGCCTGGTATAATTTACCATGTACTGCAGTGTTTAGTATTTAATATAGTAAAAAAACATTACTTTGAATTCTAGGTCTGAAGACAGACCTTGGCTCTGCTGTCTTCTTGATCTCTCTGTCTCAAACTCAAACACAAAGGACGGAATCTTACAAGGATCGGAACAACATAGGTTTTAGCGCGAGATGAGTGGCAGCTTCAGAGGAAAAATACAGGGATGCTCATTTCAACGTCAGGAGCAACTCGTACCATCTTGTATGCTTTTCAGAAGTGGCATGGTGAGATTTTTACCTGGTCGCAGTGAGTTGCTAATTAAGGGGGGGTTACTACTTGCTAAGTGCCTTGTTGGTGGCCCAGCTCACCTCATTTCTCCCACCTATCCGCTCCTCCCACCTTACTGACCAACCCCCACCCCCATTTCCTACCGACTAGCCTCAGCCCTCCTTCTTGACCTGTCTGTCTTCCCTCCCAGCTACCTGCCCCTCCCTCCTCACTGACCAACTCCCATCCCAACTCCCTACCTTCACTCAACTTTACTGGCTTCATCCCCGCCTTCTTGGCTTGCCTGTTTTCTCTCCTACCTATCTGCTTCTCTATCCACCTTCTATCATTGCCTCCCCCTCTCTCTATTTATTTCAGAGCCCCCTTCCCCTCCTCCATTTCTGAAGAAGTGTCCAGACCCAAAACGTCAGCTTTCCTGCTCCTCTGATGCTGCCTGACCTGCTGTGTTCATCCAGCTGTACACCTTGTTATCACCTCATTAGTATTCTGCTTTCTATTTTACCAAACTTGTCAAACCAGCTCAAAAACAGAAGTCGCTGGAAATGCTCAGCAGGTCTGGCAGCATCTGTGAAGAAAAAGAGTTAACGTTTCAGAAGGGTCAGTGGACCTCTGAAAAATGAGACTGGAAAAGTAGCAATGGGGAACTAAGAAATGCCAGAGAGACTGAATAGGTACTTTGCTTCAGTCTTCATGGTGGAAGATACCAGTAGCATACTAGAACTTCAACCGAGTCAGAAGGAAGATGTGGGTGTAGTCGCCATCACTAAGGAGAAGGTTTTGGTTAAAGCTAAAAGATATGAAGGTGGATAAATCACCCAGATTGGATGGACTACAACCCAGCGTTTTGAAGGACATAGTTGAGGAGATTGTAGAGGCATTGGTGGTGATCTTTCAGGAATTAATGAAGTTAGGGAGGGTCCCAGAGGACTGGAAAATGTTTAAGGGTGGGAGGCAGAAGGCAGGAAACTATAGGCTGGTTAGCCTGACCTTGGTCATTGGCGAGATTTTAAAGTCCATTATTAAAGATGAGATTGCAGAGTACTTGGAAGTACATGGTAAAATAGGGCTGAGTCAGCGTGGCTTCATCAAGGGGAGGTCATGCCTGACAAATCTGTTTGAATTCTTTGAGGAGGTTAAAAGCAAGTTAGACAAAGGAGAGCCAATGGACTTGATCTGTTTGAATTTCCACAGGCCTTTGAGAAGGTGCCGCACAGTTCGCTGCTAAATATGATGAGAGTCTATGATGTTATGGGCAAGGTAGGGGCACTGATGTAAGACTGACTGACTGGCAGAAAGCAGAGAGTGGGAAAATGGGGTCTTTTTCAGAATGGCAGCCAGTGACTAGTGGAGTCATTGTTGGGACCACAGTGACTCACCTTATATGTTAATAATCTGAATGTAGGATCTAAGGGCATTATTGCTAACTTTGCAGATGACATAAAGATAGGTGGAGGGACAGGTAGTGTTGAGGAGGTGGGGAGGATCCAGAAGGACTTAGACAGGCTAGGAGAGTGGGAAAGAAGTGGCAGGCAGAATACAATGTAGGTAAGCGTGAAGTTATGCACTTTGCTAAAAATAATAGAGGCATAGACTATTTTCTAAATGGGAATAGCTTTGGAAATCTGAAGCACAAAGGGACTTGGGAGTCCTAGTTCAGGATTCCATTAAGGTTAGCATGCAGATTTAATTGGCAGTTAGGAAGGCAAATGCAATGTTAGCACTCATTTCAAGTAGGCTAGAATATAAGAGCAGAGATACATTGCTGAGACTGTAAGGCTCTGGTCAAACTGCATTTGGAATATTGTGAGCTGTTTACAGCCCAGTATCTAAAGAAGGATGTGCTGGACTTGGGCTCAATCCAGAGGAGGTTCACAAGAATGATCCCAGGAATGAAGCATTGGTCATATGAGGAGCAAGTGAAGACTCTAGGTCTCTACTCGATGGCATTTAGAAGGATGAGGGAGGATCTCATTGTAATTTACATAATACAGAGAGGCCTGGAAAGGACAGAATGAAGAAGATATAATAAGAGGGACTAGGATCTGAGGGCACAGCCTCAGAGTGAAGGGATGACAATTAAGAACTGAAATGAAGACGAATTCTTCAATCAGAAGGTGATCATTCTGTGGAGCTCATTGTCACAGAAGGCTGTGGAGGCCAAGTCATTAAGCATCTTTAAGACCGAGAGAGATAGGTTCTTGATTAGTAAGAGGATCAAGGGTTGCAGGGAGAAGGCAGGAGAATAGGGTAGAGAAACATAGCAGCCATGATTGAATGGGGAAGCAATCTTGATGGGCCAAATGGCCTAATTCTGTTGCTACATCTTATGGTCTTATGGCTGAGACCGTGTTAAGCAGGTGATAACCTCATACTAGGCTGGTATGGGTTGGTGTTGGGTCTCCAGTGGGCTTGGGAGGAGAGGAAGATGCCGCCAACAGCATCCCATCCAGCTGCACTTCAGGTACTTGCCCACACAGGGGTTGCCAATTTTCGCCAGTCTAACATGCCTGGGGAAATGTCAGGAAGCGTGCAGGGCAGCCCCTGACTGACAGTGCTTGTCCAGGAGAACAACAGGCTTTTAACAACGGGCACCAGGGATGCCAGTGGTGAGTTGTTTGGGAACTACACATGTTAAGGTGGGGCTGGGCTCAGATGGGATGAATAAAAAAAGGGGCAGGGTAGCTAATTAAGGTGGAAATTTTAGTAAGTTACAGCAAGAGAACTGGCACTCAGACTTAGTCAAAAATAGTAGGATTCAGTCCAGAGTGTGACATTAAACCACATAATAAAAGAGCGCTCTCCCTATGCCAGTCATGGTTTCAGGACTGTAGAGAGCATGGGACATCCTGAGACTAAAGATCTGAGGTCACAAATAGAGGTCCTCACAAGCCTGGAGAAGTCCATGCAGCAGAAACATGCCCACCGACACTGTAAGTGAGCAATAAGCTTGTAACGATCGCAGTTTTAACCCCAGCATCTCCCTTTAACCTCTAAAGCATCTGAAATCTCCCAAAATCTACCTTGTTTATCTGACCTTTGTCCCCACAGGCAAACCGTCAAATAAATCAGCACTGATAACCTGTACCGGATAGACGTCTATGACTTGCTCACCAGGTAAAGTCGCCATAGTCCAAGAGGACTAGTCCCTCTTGCATTAGAGATAGATAACTTGTGATGAGTTGAAACTAAAAAGAACCATGCCTAGGAATGGGGGCAAGGTTGAGAATGCAGGACCTTCATGATAACCTTAGCTGGTACAGAAATGGAATCCACATAGTTGGCATCACTCCACATTGCAAACCCGTCATCCAGCCAACGAGCTAACTCACCCCTTGCTCACTGGTCTTGCTTGTCAAGAACCTAGGTCTGTCACTTTATTGTATTTATTATATGGAATTCTAACTGACCAGCTTAAAACATTTTCAATCAAAATATCATATCCATCCAAGTTTTTGGCCAAAAAGAGAACTTTGAAACTCTTCTCAAATTACTTGAGGTTGCAGAATTCCTGAATCAAGTATAAATGACTCCCCAAAGTTCTTCTCCAGGCCTATTTATTGCCTTGCTCCAAACTTAACAGTTATTTGCAGCAAATTGTTCCACTACACCTTGTTTAAAGATCGTTTGGAGATTATCTACTCTCAGTTCATGTTATCATAGGCACACCCACATTCTGGAAATGGCTCATATTTAGGGTAGAGATTGATAGTCAGGCATCAAATAAGTCAGAAGTGAAATTATGACAAAATTGGTCAAGAACAAATTTTGTTGCATGCATTTGAATACTCATGGTTTGTCAGTAAAGGTTTGTCAGTAAATCCTTAAGTACAGGATCAGCAATGTTGTCTGATATCTTTTTGTCCGTAATGAAGAAAAAAAATTTATCATCTCATTCGCGATCACAGTGCTGTTTGTGGGATCTTGCTGTGCAAAAACTGGCTATCATGTATCCATCATGACAACATAATTTCTTAGCTGTAACACACTGTGAGAAACATAGGTTGTGAATATCAAGCCCCTTTCCTTTCGGTCAATGAAACGATGATTACGGAGCATGCATGATCTCCTTCTCATGTCCTCAGCCTGGTCTGACCCACAGAACTGCAAATTCCATCACGAGTAGGGCATTCTATGCCAGCCAGAATGGGGACTGAGATCTGCACTGCTGGCATCAGTCTGATCCACACCAGCTGTCCAGCCAAGCAGTCAAATCTGCTGCAGCAACATACACTTTACTTGCATTTTGTCGTCTGATTAGCGATGGTC